CTTCCTTCCTTCCTTTCTCTCTCTCTCTCTCTCTCTCTCTCTCTCTTTCTCTCTTTCTCTCTTTCTCTCTTTCTCCCTTTCTTTCTTTCTTTCTTTCTTTCTTTCTTTCTTTCTTTCTTTCTTTCTTTCTGAGGGACAGCATAGAAATTAGTATGGCAGGAAAAGAGGGAGTCAGAGTAGTGAGAAGTGAAGTCAAGGAAGAGGTCAGATTGATTTCATGCAGTGCCTTGTGGGCCACAGTAAATGATAAGTTTGAAATTATAAAAGTGCCAGGAAGTCATTGTGAACTTGATAACTGGGTAGTGCCATTTACAGATTATGGTAAGGACACTGGATTCTTAAATACAAAAGAAAACATTGGGAGAAGTGAATTGATATGGCATAGTTTATGTTTCCAAAGGCTCACTGTGGTTGCTGTGTGAAAAAATAGATTGATTGTAGTAGAAGCAGCGAGAAGGCTATTGAAATAATCCAGAAGAGAAGTGGTTGCTTGTCTGGGATGATCTAAGTAGTGAAAGGTGCTTGGACTCTAAGATAGATTTGGGGAGTAGAGTCAATAGTATTTACTCCTGGATTTTTTGTGGGATGTGAAARGAAGCAGATTAAGGATGATTCCAAGGATTTCTCCTGGAGCAACTGGAGAGATGGAGGTTTGCTGAGAAGGGTAAGACTGCTTAGTGAACAGATAGTTATATAAGGCTTTGGTGGTGCAGTGTAGACAAAAATCTAAATGGACTGGACTTCAGCCTAGCTTTTTATATTATGAAGACATTGCAGGACAGCTGACATGCTGGTCAGGATAGTAAAGATAATATTATTGTCCCTGCTGTGAAAATGTAAACTTTACCTGATTCCCCATCTTGCAGAAAAGGAAAAGAAATTATATCAGGACCACAGCTGCAAACCAGGTGTCAGGAGGTATGTTCATTGCTTCAGTAAATATACCTACCACATCTGGAACTAAAGTTGTGGTTGTTATCAACACCTGATTAAATCTGCGATGATTTACAGTAATTTATATACAAGATTTTTTTTTTTTTTTTTTTTTTTTTTTTGCTGGAAAACGGGTCCTTGCCTCACTAGATCCACTGTTAGGAGGTCTCAAGCTAAGATTTTTCCTATCACCTGATTTTCATTATTCCTTAATTGGATTGATAGATTTCGGTGGCACCCACAGAGGGTGTTGGTGGATCAGGATAAGTTGAAAGCAAGTATCTGATAACCTCCAGGAAGTCTTAGTATTTCTTCTTCCTCATACCTTTGGAAAGTTTTAGGGGAAATTCACTATGTAAATCTATGCCACATGGCAGGATTCTTTCTCAGTTGGGCCTGGCTTGGCCTTTCTGTCAGGTGAGATATTTTGGATGCAAACTTGCCTAGGTCTGAGAGTTAGGCAAAAAAGTGTCAATCTCCATTATAGTTGGTTAGCTTTATGCCCAGAAGACCTAGAATCTTCTCACCTGTGTAAGTCAAGGAATGCCCATCTATCTCATCTCTGAGTACTTGTGGTCATTTAGTTATGGCCATAGATCCTTGCAAATTAAGATTTGGTTATTATCATTCTATCCCTGTGGTTTATTGATGTWACTGTGCTTACAGGTCTTTGCTGGAATTTACCACATCTGTATCCAACTGTTCCCATTGGGACAATTGAACCAAATCAATTTTCTCATCCTTCTTCTTTATCATTTTTTTTTTCAATTCTAAGGTCAGCACTGACAAAGATTTTCAAGAATACTGTGATCCCTCAATTATGCATTTTCTGGGTTTTTTTTTCCTCCCAGAGGTTAAGACTTGACTAAGAATGTTCCATATTGCAGATCAATTTCCCATTTCTTTGAACCTTAGAGCTTACTCCTGTTTAGAAGTGCTTCTCAAAGTGCATCAATGTATGTTATCTGGGAACTTATTAGGTATGAAAATTCTAGAACTCCACACTAGGTCTACTGAATTAGAGACTTTGGGAGTGAGTCCCAGGAATTTGTGTTTTAACAAGACTTTCAGGTGATTGATGGTAATGTTTGAGCTCATTCTCTTAGAATATGCCAGGGTAGGCTATCCAAGGCTACACCAGCTAGGGCCAGTAGCACCCACCCAAGGCCACCTCCTGAATCTGGGGAGTGTGTAAATCAGGTTCAGTACAGTGCATGAGCAATATGACAGAGTAGTCATTGAAAGATATTTATGCAGGAGGGGAGTGAGTCTCACAAATGGGGGATCTGACAGTCCCTCAGTGTTTATTCTGTCAAAGGAAGGTAAGTGAGATTTGGAGATTCAGAATTCTCACCTTCATTCATGTCTGCTTAGATGTTCACATCTTTTATTTCAGTTTCCTATTCTTTCCCTAGCTTCATTACTTTGGTGCATAGTTTTGAGAGTGTGGGCATTTAATAAGTATTGCAACTATTCTTTTGGTCTGAAAAAAAGTCAGGACTACACAATGTTTATAACCATTATTGTTGTCCTAGTGACTAAGTGATAGCTTACCTGACCTCCTGGTACCTTACCTTTCAGCTGAATATCCTTCCCTCTTAGCAATGGTGATGACTTGAGAGGTGGATTAACTATTCCCTATTTTACCTTGGCAAGAAGGTTATCCTAGAATCCTTTATGTGTGGGTGTGTTTCCTGAGTCCCGCTGTGGTACCAATTACTCTATCAGTAATTACAAAGATACAGGTTCCCAGTAGTAAATGGCATTCTCAGCTAAGGATAATTCTGAGAGGGGCCGATAAAGGGGAAATTTACAAAGATGCAGGGTATAGGGAAACCACAAATAAGAATGCAGTTTCTGGGGCTAGAGATAGTCAAGTCACTCTACCCCTAAGTTTGAAAGGACAAAAAGGTGATTACTAGATCCTGGAAGAGTTATATAGAAACGGCTTCCTTGAAAGAAGTAGTTATCTTTGATCAAAGGTCATAGTCAATTTGAGGTGACCCTTCACGAAGGAGCCTGTGGAATAGATACCTTGATTTCATTTTCCTCTTTCTGAGGTTCCTAATTGGACACACTCAATGAGAACACAGACAGCAAGGGACCTTGGGAATATAGTCTGTACACATTAGTCTCCCATGACAGTGAGAAGGATAGGATTGATGTTGGGGTGCAAACAAAACCTCTCACACAGAAGTTCTTTCTAAGGTGACATTTGAACAGAAACATGAATTGAGAAGAATCCAGATAGTCAGAAGGGCTAAAAAGGACAATGTCCTTGAAGCTTGCTCTCAGTGATATGGCTGAAGAATAGGGTGTGAAGGAGGGTGTAGTGGTATCAGAGATCTCTGCTGGGACTTCATCATGTGTGACGTCGCAGGACATGGTGAAGGACTTGGTTGGTATTCCAGGTACCTGGGGAAGATCTTGGAGGAATAACATGATCTCACATACTTTTAACAAAAACATGCTAAATGTCATGTAGAAGATGGATTAGGCAAGAGAAGAAGCAGGGGAGCAAGGAGTTATTGTACCCTGAACAGAAGAGATGATGATGTCTTGCACTAGAATGTGAAGAGGAGGGGAGAGAATTGGAAAGGACAGAAAACGGACTTTTCTTACTTTTGTTCTCCCAGTTTCAGCACTAGGTCTTTTTCAGTGTGTAGACTTAGTAAATGCCTGTGAAATGATGGGATTAAAAATGTTTTTTTTTTCCTCAATAGAATGTTTCTCCTATCTCCGTGGCTAGGGCAGTACCCGTACAGACATACGATAAATGTTACTTGACCTTGAAGCATTGGAAAGCATACTATGCATTATATAATTTGATAGCTTACTGGAGAAGGGTGAAGTCTGGCTGTGTATTCGGTAGTCTGTTTGGAAGTATTTGTTCTTCCTTCCCACTTCCTCAAGTTGGTATCCTCTCCAGCCTCTGGGATGGCATTCCCCTTYTCACCTCATGTTTATGTCTTAATAGCAAGAAAACAAACTGGTTGAAAAATGGCCAAAGAACCTGAATATACATTTCTCAAAAGAAGAATTGCAAATGGCCAATAGATACGTGAAAAAAAATAYATCAGGGAAATGTAAATTAAAACCACAATGAGATATCACCTTATTCCTGTTAGAATGGTTATTATTATTCCTTGTAATTCCTCTGGTGGAGGATGAGGTAGTGGTGTAAACTAAGCCTGAAAGGAGCACTGACCACATTATTTTCAATACTCTAGTGAGACTACTTCTTTAACAATAGTCTTTTGCTTTTATAAACTTGAGAGAAATTCTTCATTCTTTGTTGCAATTTTAATGAATTAAAAATCAGACTTGTGTTGTATAAAATTAGCATGTAATTTTATTTTGWTAATAGAAAAATAATAATAATTTGTGGCTCAGTTGATTTGTTAATCAGAAAGATAATTATGTTTCTGTAATTAAAAAAAAAATTATTCTTTTTAAAACTAGATCATTATCTCATGGAATACTTCCTGGAGAAAGGAAATGTTTTCTCAAAGTTCCATTATATGAACATCAAGTACGGTGTCCCAGCTTACCTTTGAAGTTAGATTTTGATAAATTTGTGGAAAGTAGGGGAGGAATACCAAGGAATACTAATCCTCGGATGTGGGCTGCTGAAATATTCATTAAAGATAAGATTCCGAAAGTGCCCCCACCAGTAGTGAAAACTTCTGTTGAAAAGGAGATTTCTGAAAAAGTTGAAGAACCACCAAAACTAGAATTAAGTGATTTTTTGGGGTGTGATCTTCCACCAGAAGTCATTGAGCATTATAAATCTGAAGTGAAAACCTTGACTCAACAAATAAATAATAAGATACTTCCTGAAGTTGCATATTGCAGGCGTGGAGCTATTTATAGGCATCTGGGAAAGTTACAGAGTGCCATGAATGATTTACAGGAAGTAAGTTTTTTTTTTAAAATAAAAAGAACAATACTTACCACTTGCATTGCTTTTGATGATATGGTAATTTTTGCTGGAATTTTCAATAATGGATAATTATATAGTATGTGGGATTGTGAAAATGCAATTACTGGCATTTCCAAATAATTAGCATTAMAACACCAGATTTTTGTTTGTCAGATTGGAATGCTTTATTTTATATTGTATGCACACAAAGCAACTGGGATTGATAGTGCTTGAAAAATTTATTCGATAGGATATCTGCCTTTAGCAAATCAACTTTAGTTAAATTTATGCATATGTTTTCTAGGCTATGATTTTGGAGCCAATGCTTCTCAATGCCTATTGGCACCGACATTTCATTTATCTTTTCCAAGACAGAATTAATGATGCTTTGGATGACTTGAATTATATAAGTAAATATAATAAAAATAATGCAGGTGGGTTGTTAGCTATGTTACCTATATCATTATCTCAGCTTTTGTCATTTATTGTTATTATAAGATACATAAACCAATAGATATACATTTTGCAAAAATGGATGTGATTCTCCTCAATTATTTTTACTCTTAATATTCAAATAATCCTGTATTGTTTTCAAAATGCTCTTCATGGTTTGAAATAGTCATTTCCTTAATATACCTTGATTCCTTACTGCTTATATCACAAGAAGTTTTAGAAGTGATCCACAAAACTTCCAAAAATCTGGTTCATAGTCATAGTATTACTAGGACTTCTTGGTTGGATTGATCTGTATGTGTGCCCTATGTACTCTCTTCTAACCCTCTCAAACCACCAGACATGGAACAGCCTAGAAATGAGAAAGATGTCATACTCTTCTTTGTACCCCAGCACCCAAACATAACTCAAGGTTCAATATACTTAACAATTGTTTAATGGCCTATGTTAATCTCTGCTAAAACCCATTTMAAATTTTGTGCTGTCAAGACCTAGCTTTTTACTATGAGCACTGAAAAAGTATGAAACATTTTAGACATAAAAAAGGTAAAAGGTAATTTGGCAATTTTATCACTTTCAAATTGAGAGTACTTTTAACCACAAATGAATATTTATCCAGCTTTTGAGAGCAATTGGCTTTGTTGAAATTTTTAAAAATTAAATGATTTAAAAAATATAATAGAGAAAATTATTTTAAAAACCACATTTTTGCTGGGTATGGTAGCACATGACTTTAATCCCAGTGACTCAGGAGGCTGAAGCAGGAGGATCATAAGTTTTAGGCCTGCCTCAGAACCTTAGTGAGATCCTGTTTCAAAATAAAAAGGGCTTGGGATGTAGCTCAGTGGTCAACCCCCACAACCCCCCTTCTATTTCCAGTACCACCAAAAAAAAAAAAAAAGTGTGTGTGTGTGTGTGTGTGTGTGTGTGTACATATATATAATTATTTTTTAAAATCACATATTTAGAGAGAATAATGTTTTCAAATTTTTATTCTTAAAGAATTGTAACACTAAATTTGACCTTTTTCTCTTCTTTAGAGGCATATTTGTCAAAGGCAGAAATTTTCAAGAACAAAGAAAACACTGCTTTGGCAATTCTAAATTATACCCTGGCAATTAAGTGCAGGCCCACAGAAGCTGATAGCTATTTCAGGAGGGGTGAGATGCATGAAAAAGCAAACAGAGTACTGGCCATTGATGACTATTCTAAAGTAAGCTTTATTACATATAATGCTGCCATTTATATATTTTAGATCATGATATTCTTGTGCTCATGGTATAGCAAGGTTTTGAAAGTCTTTCATATATTTTWTATCATCAAAATTAATTTATTACAGGTTAGGAGCTAGAGCTTTCATTCTTGGTATTGATGTTAACCCTACTTCAATGATTTTTCAAAAAAATATTGGTTAATGGATTTCCCCTCTTGGACTTGAAACAGCAGGTAAAGAAGTTGCTCTTTCCTTCAGATGATAGAGAAAACCATATTCCATTTTTTATAGCTTCTTCTCTTTTGTAGGGAGAATCTACCTGCTCTCAAAGAAGCTATAGTTACTGTTTTATTCATTCATTCATTAACTCACAAATATTTATTGACTAAGGCACCATAATGTAGTGGATAAAAGTTGGTGAATAAAATAGACATTTTCTGCTTATACAGAGTTTATAGTTTCAAGGACATATATTAAGGATAGATTTAAACACATACATGAATACATAATAACAAATTATGATGGATGCTGATGGAAATGAGGACAGTAGGAGAATATTTCCATTTGGTTGAGGATGTTGAACCGTGCTTTGAAGCTACAGAGGCAAGGTAAAGTATTCTCCTAACTACAGAAAAATATGTAACTCTGATCTTCTGACTTTTAGTTTCAAATTCCTAGTCCTTAGTTCAATTGAGAATTTAGAAGAAAGAATTTAAGTAATTTAACTTTCCATATTCCCATCTATGATGGTTTAGTCACTTCCCTGGCACTCTTCTGCGTGAGGAGCATAAGTTTTGTAACTTCTGGTTTAGAAGTGACCAAAAATTCCTTTGAAGATATTGAATTATTAGATTATTTTAAATTAATTTTTTACTTATATATGCCAGCAAAATACATTACAATTCRTATTATGCATACAGAGCACAAAGTTTTCATATCTCTGGTTGTATTCAAAGTATATTCACACCAATTTGTGCCTTCATACATGTACTTTGGATAATGATGTCCATCACATTCCACCATCATTTTGAAATTATTAGATTATTGATTCCATTCCTCTACTGGGCACCATATTTTAAAAATAGATTAATACAGCACCAGAAGGCTTCAAAATCCTTGAAAATACATGATAACCTTTGTGCTTCAATTGTTCCCTAGTAACAATAGGCGAAGAACTTTACAACTGAGCTTATGATTTAGTCTGTCACTGTATGGCTTTTGTATATCTAAGTGAAATGGAAAAACCAAGCCACTACCAATTCATTTCTTTTTATCATGTTAGAGACTAGATTAATCCATAGCATTGATGTAATCTAATCTGTTTCACCTTTAATTAGGATAAAATGCTGTGAGAGATACAATGTAGCCCAWTTCTAGTTGAACAATTCATTTATGAATTATTGTCAGTAAAAATTTCAGTGGGCAAAAGACTTGGCTTCTTATACATGCTGTTTCTTTTTTAAAAAAACTATTTTAAAGATATTCCCTTTCAAGATGATGAATGGGTTTCTTAATATAGTCTTTAAATGTAAATGTGAAAATTTTGGTATCTCAAAGTGTGATTTTCTTTTATGTAATATAAATTTGTTATGTGACTATGTATGTAGCTTTTAAAGCATGTAACATGTCTATATACCTCTCCATGCCCCTGTAGTGTATTTTTTATGATCCCCAAAGAGTAGATGCATTATTGAAACGTGGGATGTTTTTCTATGAAAATGAAAATTGGACTTCAGCCATACAGGATTTTACAGCTTTGTTAAATATAGAACCCAAAAATTTGCRAGCAAGGTAAGAATTATTTTGGGTGTGATCTTATTTTTGAAATTATTACTCTTTGAAATACATTTTCAGGAAATAAAATTGCTTGAAATACATCAATAACCCCTTAGAAATAATTAATCAATTTTCAGTGCCACCTAATGGATGGTAGTGAATAACTTAACAGGCATAAATGAAAACTGAGTTATTTTATCTGTATTTCCTAAATACTAGTTACATTGTAAATTTCTAAAGCATTGGCCATCACCTATATTTTTCTTTTTCAAATTTCCTTTTAAAACATATCCTCTGAATACAAAGAATGGTTTTTTATRTATATATTTTTAAAATCTTAATGTATCTTGTATATTAAAACTCTTCTTCCAACCTTGTGATGTATAATACACTTCTCATTTTGTTGTTTTCCTTTTAAGCTGAGCTCTACTTTGAAGAAGTATAAATGTGCATATAGTCAGGCCTATTCATCTCTTCCCTTACAATTTTTTAATTGGTGCATTATAATTACACATAATAGTGGAATTCATTATACCCTAGTCATGTAGTAAAGCATGCATCTAGAAAATCAAATGAAAGGGCAAAGTRCATCTTAATGACTAATCATCATGTGAATATCCCTGTAACCATCACTGGGTCAAAAAGACATTTTCAGCACTCTGAAAACCTCTGGATCTTTGTCTCTTCTAGAGAGACAAAGAGACTCCCTTATAGTTTTTTATAGTTGCAGCACAYAAGTGTACATCTATAAACATTCTTAGTTGAGGTTTACCTATTTTTGTTTAATGTTACATAAATGGAATTATATGATAGTGTTCATCCAGGTCTAGCTTCTTTCACTGAATATGGTGCACTATACATTACAATTTACTTATCCATTTTATTGTTGATGAATTTTGAGTCCAGCTTTCAATGATGAATATTGATCCCTTGAACATTCTTGTGCATGTCATTGGTACTAATACAACATTTCTGTTGTACATAAAATGTCTGGTTGATAGAGTTTGCAGATGTGCAACTTTGGGGCTCAACTGGTTTCCTAAAATGGTTATACTATCAGAAGTTCAACCCAAGCACTTAGTATTATTATGTTACTTTCATATTTTAGTCATCCTTGTGCATATGTAGTATGACCCTGTTGTATCCGAGTTTTCTTTTTCTTCATTACCAACACGATTGCTTTTTCATATATTTATTAACCATTAGATTTCCACTTTGTCTGCTTATTTCTCATTAATTTCTATAAGCTCTTAAATTTGTTGGTTATTTTTATGGCAAATATTTTTTTCCCATTCCTGATTGTCATTGCATTCTTTAAATATTGTCTTTTAGTAAACAGAGTTCTTAAATGTAATATGGTCTGATATATCATCTTTTCTTCTTTAAGATTCATGCTTTTTATGTTATATAAGAGTTTTTTCCTACCCTGAGTATTCTATTTTTATAATTATTTTAAATTTTAGTTTGATGAATTAAAATGGTTGGCACTATTACATTAAGTTGAATTTTTGTAGGGATGAGCCAAAATGTATCTATTGACCTTTCAATATTTTTTCTTCTATTAGTCTTGTATATTTTTAAAATTTAGATATTATCAATTTTATGTGAGCTCTATGTATATATGTTCATCATGTCTCATTAAAATTTGTGTTAATTTTTAAAAGAAATTTATTCTAATTGTTATATATGACAGCAGAATGCATTTAAATTCATAGTATACATATAGAGCACAATTTTTCATGTCTCTGGTTGTACACAAAGCAGAGTCACACCATTTGTGTCTTCATACATGTAC